CATTGATAACAAGTTTTATGAAACAGGGCCCAGGTCATTGTCTCTATTTCTGACTATTATTTGATTCTTCTCTCTTTCTCCTAGGCCTGAAAATATATCCTACCTGTCAGCTCTGTTACCAGTGTGTTTGATCATCATCTATGTCACAATGGTTCTGGATAGGAGGAAGCATCTACCCTTCATGATTGTATCATTCATTGGGACAGTACTGTACAGGAATGCAATAGGGGCCATCGTCCTACCAGTCGCTATTCCATCATCTCCCAAGTAAGCTGTTCTCTATACTCCTCCACCTCTAGAGGAATAACCATACCGATATGTTTATGGAACATAATGAAACTTCAAGAGCATGAGAGAAAGTCATTGATTTGTGTGCTGGTATCTTGTGAAGTTTCAGCCAAATTAAATGTGGACAAATTCATTTAGAAGGGAGCAGAATAAAAAGCTGATCTCGAAGTAATGTAATGGAATAGCATTTTATGAGAAAAAAATCTGAATAGTTTACACTCTTGTACATGTATATGAATCAGCACAATAAAATATAAAGAAACCATGGTTAAAATCATTTTCACTGAAGAGCACACCTAAGATTTCCTCGTGATACATAATCTGAACAGGAAGTAGACATATTAAACAATACAAATACATTGAGATGGATAAAGTTACAAAGGATTAGTATTGATATTCGCTTGCTAGTTATTCCATTTTTTATCAGAGATTTGTGAATGTTCTTCATGTTTTACTCGTATCTTGCCAGGGGAATCTTAGAAGCCTGGTTTACCTATGCTACCATCATCGTCTCCCTCCTTGCCACAGCATTCAAGTGCGTCCGGGTCATCAGAGCAGGCCCATTTCTCCCTATTCCAGATGGGACCATGGAGAATGGGACTGCATCACCCCATCATCACCCTGGAGGCGTTGCAGGCATCATCTTGGAGGACTTCCACTCTTCCCTGCTGATGCTGGTCGCTCTCATCCTGAGGCCTCATAACGGTGCAGTGGTGGCCATCTTGGTATTGCTGCAGTACTGTCTTCATAGGCATCTGTTACCATGGTTACAGTGGAAGGTGTGGGTCGTGACCCTGGTGCATGTGTGGATGGGACAGGCTGCTTTTTATGCTCAGGTACTTTTTTTGCTGTGACAAATATTGTAACCCTTTTATTTATGACTTGCACGTATTTGTGAATTTCTGTGACATGTGTTATATGACAAGTGAAAGCAGACACGATGGCACAAGTGTAAACATTGCTTACAGAGTTAGGGAAGAACTTAAGCCCCAATTTTCGTAAAATATAATGTGAATGAACTTTGATTGTATTTTATTATCAAACCTCATCAATTCTTAATAATGATTACGATTTATATTTTTTTGTAGGGATTCTTTATTATCAAACCTCATCAATTCTTAATGATGAATTACAATTTATATTTTTCTGTAGGGATTCTTTATTTGCATCATGCCATAGTTGGACATTTTGAATACATAGTTATTTGTCATGCAATATGCGTGATGGAATTATTTGTTTATGTTTTGTCTGTAGGGTAATTCTAACAATGCAGCTAGCATGGATATATCAGCTGGCTATGTTGGTTTGGACGGGTATAACCTCATCCTAGCTGGATCTCTCACTCTCATCTCAACCTATGCTGGTCCATTGCTCTGGTTCACCAAGCTAGCTGGTTATCTTACTACACATCATATACAGAGGTCAGTGTACTTTATAGTGGTTAGAACTCAGGCATAAGATTGCCCTAGCGATCTGGGAATAGTTGGATATTTAAAAAAAAAGGGGGGGGGGAGTGGTTGGAGGGCACCAAGCTCTGCCAGCAACTTGTGCACCCACAATTTTTGAACTGTAGAAACAAAAATCATTTATTCAAGAAAAAAAAGCAGCCAGCCTGCTCGTCGAATGATGTACCTAAAATATACAGGCCTGTGTATAGGAATCATAGACTTACAAACTTGATAGATATTGCAAATTAGCTGGTTTCTTAACCACTTTTAATATATAGTTTACTGAAAAAACAGGAAGATTGGTTGTTCAACCTTTTCAAGCCCACTGTATTTTGAAGGGGTATGTTGATAGAGCAGACGATATCTCCCTCCTACTCCCCTCATTTTGATTGTATTCAAATTGCGTGCATCAAGCAGAATGGAAAGACCTTTGGTTGGGTCACTTGTAATTATGATTCATGAAAGTTGTAAAATTGTTATTTGACATAAAATATTTCCACTGGTAATAAAACCCCTTACTTTCCCCGTCATTTCAAAACAGATTCTCCAGTGCTGTCGAGGAGTCTTGCTTTACTCTGGCCCTCAGCCGTGGTCTACCCATCGCAGCCTACACAGTCCTTGCCACCATTCAGCGCTACCATCTCTTTGTATGGAGTGTATTCTCCCCCAAGCTTCTCTACGATGGGGTCCATACAAGCTTGGTGTGTGGTCTGATCCTACTTGTGTTGGCTCTTAGCTGGACCTACGACCGGGTGTCTAGACCACAGAAAGAGGAGCTTTATTCCAGATAACAAAGTTATTCAGAAGATTCTATTTATTGAAAATTTATCATTCAAAAAGATTGTTGTTCAGCGCTATCATCTGTCCATATGGAGTGTATTCTCTTCCAAGCTTCTCTACCATAGGGTCCATACAAGCTTGGTATGTGGTCTGCTCCTTCTGGCTCTAGCCGTCAGCTGGATCTACGTCAGGGTGGGTGTGTTGAGACAAGGTCAAGAGGAGCTTTATTCCAGATAACAAAGTTATTCAGAATACGCTATTTATTTAAAATTTATCATTCCGAAAGATTCAAATGTAAATATTAGAATAATATGCATATATTTTAAAAATTCTTAGAACCTTTGGTGCTTGAAATTGTTTTAAGACTTTCCTTTTTCTTGTTCTGTGCAGTCAGCTCTTTGCAAATGCAGATGCATGTACATTAGGTGAACAGAGAGAAAAACCTCTACAAGGTTTCTAGATGTGTGAGAAGTCTCGTGAATTGATATTACGCCATGACATGGTGAGTCTATTGTGCAATATATGATTGAAATGGAGGAAACTGTTGGCCCATTCATACCTCGACTTGAAAAGAATCTTGCAATGAAAGAGATTGAATAAAGAAACAGAAAAGAGACTGTGGCACTGAATGTCCAATGATTTAACAGCTCATTCACCACATCAAATACTCATCTGTTTTCTCTCCATTTAATTTCTTCTATCCATGAATCAGTAGTGGAGTCATGATTTCGCTTGTTCTTCCTTGTTAATATGTAAAAATTTAAAATCTCCTCTTTGCTCTTGTTAATATGTTTTTTATGGTTTTATATTTTCTGTAAACATTTATTGAACCTTTACTCAAACTCTGTTTTTTTTTTAAATCACCGTACAATCTCATTCATATACAACAATTAGTGGTTAGGGGATAAAGGACTTGCCAAACAGTAAACACTATTGTCAACATCAATTGGATGTTAAGCAGTAACCATAGTTTTTTATTCACCCACAATCACATGGTATCTTTTATGTGGCAAAAAGTTCCATTTTCCATTATTTTGAATTCCTTTTCAAAACAATACTTGACACTGTTATTCACATCTATGTTATTTGTACTTTTCTACAACAATACCATCTTGAAGGTCATATGTGTATGTTGAGTGTTTTAATTCAGAATGAAGTGCCTTGATGATATTTACAATTTATTTATTGGTGCTGCAATCATAATATGCCATTTACCGGTATGTCTTTTCACCAATAACCACCTTTCAATATTGCTGGGCTTTCTGTGGAAGATTTTAGTTGCAATAGTATTCCATGATACACGATTTGATTTTTGTTCTGTTATTGTGTAATTAAGTGCATATATTTGCTAACTGTTATTTGTTTACAAGTTTGATATTGATGGACATCGCAATCACATTTTTAGATGCTCCTCAGACTTCTGATAAATAAATTTGATTTTATTTATTAATGTTTAATTTTATACTAGCTCAATTTGATTTTGAAATGTCATGGTTCATACTATGATAAGATAGAAAGGTTTGTAGAGAGACTGTTCTCCGTCCGGGAGATCATTCTGAATTAGTAGTCTAAACTTTTAATTGATCCTAGTCCATACTTTTAACCTCCTCAAATTTCTTTTTTTACTTCTTCTCCTTCTGTTAGTTTTTCCTTCATCAATTAGACATTTTCATTTCACCATTCCCACTATTTTATCATGTGGCTCATGATTAAGGGTTAGCTTCAATTATTTTGAAAAAATGCAGATGGTGCATATAGATTTTTTGCTCACTTCTTTGTACTGCAATATGACTGAAATTGTGTATACAGTCTATATGTGATGATAGAATTTATTATCCTTTGAAATAATGATTTTAAATAAATAAGATTATGATGACACTTATCGAGTATCTTCTTGTGTATTTAATGTATTGAAAATCAAGGTTCAAAGTCTTTTAAATGAGATTATCAAGGGTGGGGGGGGGGGGGTAATTAGAGTCTGATTGAAAGAGATGAAAGAATAAGTGGATGGAACATAGTTATACAACAGAGGGCATTGTAGAAAAATCGAGAGAGGACTGTACATTAAAGAAAAATTGAGTGAATGAATGTTAGTGGGCGAGATGAACAGGAGGGGATAGACAGTTAACAGGAATTGAGACAAGTTGAAGGAGAACATGGAGGGGTATTGTAGTAGTAAAAAAAAGAAACATGATTGAAGGTAGTAATTAGAGACAGGCAGATGAGAAAATCACAACTTGAAAATGTACATTGTCACTGGCATTTCTATCTCCTATCTGTATAAAAGTAAAACTCTTTGCTGTATCTTACTTGTTTGTCTCTCTCTCTTTCTCTGTCTCTCTTCCTTTCCCTCTCTTAACCTCTGTTTCACCCTAGTGTCTGTTAATACCTGTGATGCATGTTCACTTTGTATGCACTCTCTCATCTAAAGCATTTGGATGTGTTGCAGTGAAGAATATCATTACATTATATGAGACAAAGTTGTATATTTTGCACGTATATGGTTTTATTACACCTCTTGTACAATATATCAGCATCACTAATACACATTTTAAGATGTACAAATGACAAGTTCTGCCAACAAAATAAATACGAATCAATTAGATTGTTTTCAAAAATCCTCAGCTCTACATATAAGCACCTTACATAGTAATCTGAAAATGAGACATGAACACACATAATTCTCATCTGAACATTGTATTTGTGAAAAGAACCATGACAAGTTTTCTTTTGCAGTTGGTATTAAAATACTATGGAACTCTTTCACTCAAGGACTCTTAACTATCTGAAGTTTTTTTTACCGATTGTATTACAGCCCATGCCAAGAATTACAATAAAAAGGAAATAAAGTGATTTATATTCATCCTTGGATATACAAGTAGAAAATACCAACAAAGCTGGTATTACGTTTCTAAGAGTTGCTCAACGGTTTTCATAAATATCGTGGATTTGTGCATGTAAGTAATGTACCTTTAATAACAAATATGAGCCAGTTTCAAGCTAAAGATTATCAGAATTTAAAAGAGAGCATGTATATCTTTTCTCTATTTGTTTCTTGTTTGCACATGAGAAGGATGCAAAAGATACCTGCAAAGTCAAATACTTTTACAAACATTTCTCACTGTTTTTTATCATTATCTTTCCAATGCTATCTTCATAGCCTCAAAATGATAAACAGTATTTTAGACACGGACTATGAAACAGAGAAAGTGTAGAATAATTATATTTATTGTTCCTTTCAATACTCCTGTTACATTCAACATAATGTAGACTAAGAGGGTAATTAACAATAATATACTTAATAGTCTTAACAATATAATATATTTGAGACACAGGCAATTGCTCTAACATAGCATGACATACATACTTAGATGTGGATTTCTTGAATACACAAGCATTTCAGTACAGACATAATTATTTGAAGAGGGTCATACCCTTCTAGAAAGATACTAAAGACATGAACTAAAAAAGATTAAAATAATAAAATCCATCTGTTTGCAGGCTTAGTGATCCATACAAGGCCATCAACAGTGTACTAATATTCTTGTTATGCCATTAAACTCATCACTAAGAAATGGTATATACTGCAGGAGTATGTATGTCGAGTATGTATCAGATATTCCCATAAAAAGTCCTACTTTCTCAAATAAGGACAACAGTAATCATATCTGAAAATAAATAAATCTATAAAATTGTCAAATCTTCTAAAATCCATTTTTGTTTCTTGTGTGCAATTAAAAGAGAAAGTGAAATGCAAGAAGTTTCCTCATTAACTATAAGTCACGTTTTATCTCACACAAATATATTTTGTTCCACAGATTGCTTTTTTTGAATTTGAGATGTGATCATGTATGATAATGCCTTCAGCTTGCAAAATACATATTATTAGCAGAGAGTCAGAAGTATGTTGGCTCATATCCTTTAATCCAGAATTTACGCCCTTCAAGCTCTCAAGAGACAACATATTCATGTCTTCGAAGCAGATCGTCGAGAGATGCAGCACTAGTCCACCAGTCGTCCACTCATGCAAGCATGTTACAGCCCAAATAAACAGGTCACAAATTTCACCCGTCCAAGTACTGAGCATGTGCAAAGCTACAAGAACAGAAAGATCCTGGGCAGATTGCCATAATGGACCAACTGGGTAGTCCTTTCAATTAGATCTAGCCATCGGTGCTATGCAGAGAAATCATTCTCTGGTCCCATATACTCATTTCTGTGTCCAGTTGACCCGATGCCATCTCACTCATCCCAAGGACTCATGTCAGTGTCAATGGCAACACAATTATAAGCAGCATACCTCAGCTTCTCCTCTGTGATCTTTGCACTGTAACAACAGGAAAAAAATGATAAATAAAGGCACTTGTGTCAACATCCAACACCTCACCCATAATAGAATCACTTGACAACAGAATCAATTTTCCCATCAAATCATCCGTTATCGAGCTGGCTGTCAATCGTGTCTACATTAAAAATTGTAACTTTCAACAATGGGATAAGCAACATGTAGGATACCCTTAGTCCTGCTAATATGCCTAACAAATTTGTATAACAATGAAATTGATATGATTGCATCATAGAGAAATAAAGAGAGTGTGAGAGAGAGAGAGAGAGAGAGAGAGAGAGAGAGATAGAGAGAGACAGAGAGATAAAGAGAGAGAGAGACAGAGAGATAAAGAGAGAGAGAGAGAGAGAGGGGGGAGAGAGAGAGAAAGGGGGGTTGGGAGAGGAAGCATGATAAAGGCAGATACAAAATATAAAATGAGAGTACCTACAAAATTTGCATAATACCTTTCTAGACAATATATGTTATGGTAATGATGACGAGAGAAAACTAACCTTGAATATACTGGTAAGAACAATGTGTTGGAACATGTGGATGACTCTGGTAGAGCATCAACCTTGTCTCTGAATAAAATTTAAAACAAAAAATACCAGATGGTACATGTAGTTCAATATTTTTTAAATAAAATCGGAATAGAGAGAAAGAGAGAGAGAGAGAGAAAGAGAATGATGGCAGAGAGAGAAAAAAAATGTTTTTGTCTTTATCAATGCCACTTTTTCATCCTGATCTTAACCATACACAATACACATTTCATTACAGACTAATAGAATTAAAGAAAAGGAAAACATAGGAAAGCACTGTGCAAAATACTCACCCTCTATCTGGGCAGATGTAGAGAGGAGCCGGAAGACGTCTCCTACCAGTTACAAACCTCAGAAAACGACTTCTATCCTCTGTGAAGGTCAAAGGACAAGAATAACACATAAATCAAATTATGATACAAAAAGGTTTGACTTAAGCTCATTCTGCATCATATTCTGCATCACTTCTGCATCACTTAAGTGATTGCAATCACCTAAGTAATAGTCAGATTTTCAGACCCTTTTACCGAATGGTTGTACGCTGTTCAAAGATTCAATCACTTTAATTTTGGCCATTACAAGTAGTGGGTTATTAATGTAGACAAATGCTCATGTACCTGTTACAGCTCATCTACAGTGTACATGTTATTACCAAAGAAAAAAAGATAACAGTCAGTCACTCAATAGTGTCCGACAGTGAAGTCTAGAAGGTGAACATGTTTCGTTGCATAATTTGAATATTAGGACACTGCTAATGTTTAAATTTCCCAGATAGGACATGCATGACATATTCATAATTCCTGCAAAGTTCTACAGAATTTGATGTTGGCTGCAAAAGGGACATAGTATCTTTAACGCAAAAGAATTCAAACTTGCTCATAATCTTAGCATTCATATCATCTGAGCAATTTGAGTAATTGTGCTGACAGAAATTAAGAGTAGCCCTATCTTTGTCACTTACCATGAGTGAACTTAGTGAGTGCTTCCCAGAGGTACTTGACTCTGATGTCAGACTCCTCAATGTCTTCGTAGAATGCTGGAGAAAAAGGGAAAAAAATTCTTGATTTCTATAAATTCTGAAGTTATGAAATATAGATAGATACAGATACTAATTACTCTGAAAAAATACAGTGCAGAATGATTACACTTTGCACATGATAAAGATCACCTTATTATTATTATTATTATAAAATTTTTGGCACCACCTGTGCCTGGGGTAAAATACAAACTGAATCAATGTAACCCTCGGGTCTCTCCTCTCCTCTCCTCTCCTCTCTAGACTGCATAGAGCTATATACATGTACCAACATCACACTTGCTCTCTAACATATCATCTCATGGACATTCCATCTTTTTTAAGATGTGGATTGCAAACTATTGAACAAAGTTGCAAAATCATGTTAAAAATGTTTATTCTTTCATATTGCTTCATGCACACTCACATTATATAGCATGTATTTAACCATTATATTTCATTGTGCTCCTCGTAGAATTTCTAGGTAGACAGCAAATACCTATTAACTCTTTATTTGACTTACAACCGATCTCCCTGTGCCACAATGTATTTATCATGGGATAGATATACCCAGGTCTTCAAGATTAGTTTCCACTGTTTCCAGTGCAAGATTAATCTATATCTCTGTTCAAAGGGTTGTCATAAAGCTCATCAGGACCACAAATTGGAATTTTGTTAATCCATTGTGTTGCACAAAGTAAACCTTCTGTTAATTGGTGCATCTGTTGGCTCCACCACAGTCTCAAGTATTAATTCTAATTGCTCTAAATTCTTTGAATATTGTTATGCTATTTTCTTGTTTTTTGTTGTTGTTAAATCAGATATTGTATGTAAATTGTTATATGTTTTTTATGAGAAGTGGAAATAAATGAAATGAATTGAAATGAAATGATACATGTTGTTTTGTCTCAAGAAACTGCAGAGAGGCGAAGAAAGCAATACTAATTATTACCAATCCAACGGAACACTTACTTGTCTTCTTCAAGTCTTCCACGGTGATCATTGGGTCACCGCAGATCTTCCTCTCAAGCTCCTGCCAGGTCAAGAGGTCAAGGACAGCCTGTGGAATGACCTTCAGAAGGCCTTGTCTCAGAGATTCCACCTACGTGGATATACACAATAGCATCATCAATAGTGATCTGTCAGTTTATGACAGGTTCATTGACCCAATCAGAATTCTATGTCAAGTGTCTCTCCAAGTACCTCGGTCTTCAGCCCTTCGTTTGAGCATTTCATATCCTGTTGCTCCACATTCTGTGAGTAAATCATCTAGAAAGCCTTTAGGAGGTCTTCCTCTCTTCTTCTTTCCATGTAGACGACCTTCTATGACTCTGATCAATAGCATGTCATAATAAATATTCACCTCATCTACATGTACACTCAGTATAAGGGCAGGCATATCTATGATCTACAGAAGACACACATATTGAAAAGGGAATAAGATAGAGAAGAGTCTGACTGACATGGCATGATCTACTGTGACTGGTTTTGACTTTTGACGCCACTCTAAAAGTTACAATTTCATGGTAAGAAACCAATGATGTTGTTAATGCTTTACAGACAGTAGTGCTTCACAATCAAACCTTTGTCGACTTCTGTAGACTTTCTCTAGTTTTTCTAGCCAAGAAAGATGGAAAAATCAATGTGAAATTTAAAAAAAAACGTTAATCTACTGGAGTGCTGGAGTGGATGAAAGCTTGCTTGTCAAACACTGGTAGAAGCTTGCACCACATACACGTATCAAACCATTGAATCCTAAGCTAAGGATAATTCAAGCTAGTCTATGGAAAGTGTATGTTATATCAGAATCCAATGACATCCAAGGGGTTAAGATCACCTATACCACTGAAATGTTTAAAATTATAAATACATAATGTATTCTCTGTACCTGTTCTGTGCATTCAGCCATTCTAGCCTTCTTCACCAGCCTGCAGTACTCCTGCCTGTCATCATAGAGTACATGTGTATCAGTGCAGCCATCCTTGAGTGGTACAATAGTCTGGTCACTAAGACTAGTGGTGTAGGTCAGCTCACCGGCGAATGAAGCCTCAAAGGTTTCTCTGTCCATAGATTCAATCAGTTCGATCATCTTCACCTGTGCAACAACAAAAAACACACATGTACATGTACATGTATATTACATCTTTATCATACATGGGGAGTGTTTCACAAAGACTAGGACCAACTTTAATGTGGACTTATATATGGCAGGCCATTCATGCCACTGTTTGCTCTCACCATTGTTGAAGAAAAAAAGTCTTAAATACAATCTAAGTAACTTTTTTCTTCAATAATGAACTATCAAAAAATTCAAATTCTGTAGATTTATGACGTCCCTTGAGAGACCAATGGTGAGAGTAACTAGTGGCATGAATGGCCTGCCATAGTTACATGTAAGTCCAACTTAAAGTCGATCTTAATCTTTGTGAAACACCCCATGGGCATGCCAATGCAGTGAGCAATAATATACAACTATTCACTGCTTCAAGGAATGATGGTTTAAACTATAATAATAATAATAGTGAACATTTATAATGCGCCATGTCTGTCAAAAATGACACTCCTGGCGCAGTTGTGTGGAAGTTGTATAATTGTGGGCAAGAATTCAAGAAAGAAAGTAAAATACACATAAGTTACAGTTTAACATACTTCAGGACATAATTTGCAATAATACAATAATACAATACAAAGCATATTACAGTAAATCAAGTTATATAAGGGCAGTACAATGTAAGACATAATTAATTAAACAAACTAATATGTTGAGAACAGAAACGTTTTTAACAAAGACTTAAACTGTGAGTAGGAGTTCTCATTACGGAGGTGAGGAGGGAGTGAGTTCCACAGTTCAGGGCCAGAACTTGAAAAAGAACGCCTTCCCCAGGAGTGTCGTGAACGTGGGATGAAAAGAAGTTGGGTGTGAGCAGAGCGGAGTCGTCGTGGTGGTTCGTAGAGTCATACTAGGTCTTGTATGTATGAGGGTGCAGTGCAGTGAAGTGCTTGATAGACGAGAAGAATGACTTTGAAGATGATGCGTTGGCGGACAGGAAGCCAGTGCAGTGCCTTAATGATGGGTGAGATGTGAGTGGTGCCTTTAGTGAGCGTTACAAGTCTGGCCGCGGAGTTCTGGAGTTGTTGGAGGCGTTGCAGCTGGTAGTCAGGAAGATGTATCAGAAGAGAATTGCAGAAGTCTAAGCGAGAAGAGATGAGGGAATGGACCATGGTTTCAGTAGCCTCACGGGTCAGGAATCTTCGGATGTGCGAAAGATTGCGGAGTTGGAATCTAATGGCTTTGCATGTGTGAGATACATGATGATTTAGAGTCAAGTTCGAGTCGATGACAACACCAAGGTTCCGGCATTTAGTTGTGGGGCTGATCTGATCATCACAAACTGTAATGAAACTTCCCGGGATCTTATTCAGCATGACCTTTGAGCCTAAAATCATAAACTCAGTTTTCCCTCCATTGAGCTTTAGATTATTTTGTGTCATCCACCCACTGATATCAACAACACATTCTTCCAGACGCTTGATGGCGGACATCAAATTGTGACCACATGGAGGGAAGGAGATAAAGAGTTGGATGTCGTCTGCGTAGGAGTGATGGCCAACGTTGTGACGCTTGATCAGTTCACCAAGTGGCTGGGTGTATATGGAGAACAAGAGCGGGCCACCAACAGATCCCTGTGGGACACCATACGTCAGAGGCGTTGCGTCGGATTTTACACCATCGATACACACGCGCTGAAATCGATCACTAAGGTAGGATATGAACCATCTAAGGGCGGTTGACGATACTCCAAATTCTTTAAGCCGGTCAATCATCAAAGAGTGAAGTACGGTGTCGAAAGCAGAAGATACGTCAAGCAGTACCAACGCTGTTAGGTTGCCTTCGTCCATCTGCTTGAGGAAATGATCCGTCAGGCTAACAAGGACAGTTTCAACACTGTGATGTGCTCTGTACGCTGATTGATGACTGTCCAGGATTTCATTGTCCAATAGATGATCTGTGAGACGCGAAAAAGCTGCACGTTCCATTACCTTGGAAAGGAAAGGGAGGTTAGAAATTGGGCGATAGTTCTGCATTGCGTTCTTGTCTAGCCCTGGCTTTTTCAGTATTGGTCGGATATTTGCGAGTTTAAGAGAAGAGGGGACGGTCCCGGATTCAAAGGTGGTGTTGATGATGCTGGTGATGGCAGGAACCACTACTGGCAAACACTGCTTCAGTAGACGAGTTGGGATGGGGTCTAAGTTACAAGACTTTGTAGGTGACTTCAGGATAATGGACATCACTTCATCAACTGACACAGGTCGTAAAGAGCCAAGTGCATCAGTGACAATACCAGCTGGAATTGGACGCCTCACACCAACAGGGGCCTCAGATAGATTAGAGCATATGGTCTCCACCTTGTTTCTATAAAACAGGCCAAAGTCCTTCGCAAGTTTCAGGGAAGAGTCATGATCAGGCAGAGAACAATCATCCTTTCTGTTCAAGAGTTCGTTTGTTAGGCGGAACAATCGTCCAGAGTCGCCATGGCAGTCCTCGACAAGCCCACTGAAATACGTCTGCTTGGCAGATCTGATAAGAGATTTGACTTTCCCTCGCTGAGCAGTATATAGTTGGCGATGAATTTCGAGCTTGGAGATACGCCATTGTCTCTCTAGTCGTCTCCGCACTTGCTTCTCACTGGCTATTTCTTCATTGTACCACTTTTTGTTTGGTCGGATTCTCACGACTCTGGTTTCCAAGGGGGCATGGCAGTTCAGAACATCCTCAATGGTAGCATTGAAGTTATCAACTGCTGTCTCAGGATCAGTCATGTTACATCGTTGGCTGATAGATTTCTCCCTCAGGTCTTCGATGAAACGAGGTAAGTCTATAGCTCCAATGTTTCTTGAAGACAATGTCTTCTGGTTGACCTTGGGTCGCTGAAGATGAAACTTGCAGACAATCGCATGATGATCAGATATGCCGCCAGTGATTCCAAGGTCTGAAAAGCTACACTCATCGGACTGCCTCGATATGAATAAGTCCAGAGTGTGTCCATGTATGTGCGTTGACTCGTTGATATGTTGCTCAAGTCCATGGGATCTCAGAACATCTTCAAATGTCGTTGTCTGTGACATTTTCTTGTTCACATGTATATTGAAATCTCCGGAGATGATCAGTGAGCCAGACGTGAAGAGATGGCCATCAAGAAAGGCAGAAAATTCTTCAAAGAATTTACCGAGTGGACATTTGGAACCTGGTGGACGATAGATGACAACAAGTCTAATCGATTCTGACACCAGGGCCCTGCCTTATAAACAGTTGATATCAATCCCAACTTATTTACGATTGATTTCAATCACAACTATGTACATGAGAGATAGGAGACTGCAAACTTGCGATTGATTAGAGGACTTACGATTGACCTTTATAAGACAGGGCTCAGAACACTATGCTATCAATAGAAAATATAGCAGAATATTCAAATTCTCAAAAATCAAAGAGGAAATCTCCTCCAAAAGCATAGAAATAGTAAGATGTGTGAGAAGGACAAATGCTGACAACTACAATATTAGCTGAAAAGGATTAAACCCGTCCATTTGTTTGCGTTTCACAATGTCAAAATCTATTGATTAACAAGATGTCTATCAAGTGTGATATATTAAACTCATATGATAGATGATGACTTACACAAGCTGCATCGACTGTCTTGAAGTCTCTAGACCAGGTCACATGTTCATAACCCATCAGCTTCCATACAAATGCTGGTAGAGACAGAACCTGATAGAGTGAAACAATATTTATCTTTAATTAGTTTCGAGTGGTGAAAAGGCAGTTCAGTTGCCCATTAAAGATGTAATTCTAGCCATCACTATGTGATAAGTTATTATCAATGTCACATAAATACAAGCCCACAGCTGTAAAGTCTGGACAGAATTTTTGTTATGCTGCTTCTATTTCTTTCAATAGTAAAAAATATCATTTGTTAATAGCTGGTACATATCACACATTTAGACTTCTAATGTGGTTGCAGGACAATGATCAAGTCAATTTCATATGTTCTACACTTAATTCTGATATATATATCAAACAAGCATTACTGTTGTATTATAGTTGGTCAATAACATAGAATTAACATATTAAATCAAACTAGATAACTACTCAAGGCTCTGCAAAAAAAAATTATGTGTGGGGGGGGGGGGGGGCAATGGGGAGTTTGATACAATTTTTGAACAATCCTTACCAGATGTTCTCTACTTCTGAGACAAGCTCCCATCAACATCCCAATCCACTCATACTTGGCAAACTGACGACACGATGGGTTTGGTAAGTACACATCTCGGTTGATGTTGGAATCATCATTGTTCTGCATCCAAATAAAAAAATTCAAATTAAAAAATTAGGAACATTTTTTCTCTAACAAAGATGAATATTTGCGATAGACAAAAGACTGGAAAGTGGAAGAGAAAATAAAATCCCACTGACATTTATGACCCCGTGCCCTCATCTCTTGTTCAGAAAAAAATAAAATAAAATGAGGTCGGCAACTGGTTGTGGTTTTTAACCAATAGCCCGGTTTACTAACATATTCAAATTTTATACACACTTTCTAATCAAAAGGTTGTTCTTGCTAGGGCCTTGCCTAAAATAGCAACAAGTAATGCATGCAGATTAGATTCCAAGTATTGTAGTTCATTCAATAATGACAGGTTAATGGAATAACTTGTCACTAGGTCTCTAGGAAAGAAACATCCATAACTTTGAACATGTTAGTAAACCGATCTATTTACCTGATTGGGTGATCTAATAAAGAATGGTAGAGGGATAGGATCATCTTTCCCTGTTGGACAAAGCTCTTCTGCTAAATCAGCAAGGCTGTCACGGAATCCTCCTCCTAGATACACAGATATAACAAGAAAGGAGTAACATCTGTTAGGTAAAATGATTAGAATATAACACAAAACTTGCTTTACATAGAGAAGTACATCCTCTTGTCAGTGTGGAGCCAGAAGGGCATTGATTATGTGTAAAATTATACGAGTTAACACCCTTCTAGCTTTAAACAAACAAAACACTCTTCAAATACACCTTGCTGCAAATAGGCATGCAGATGTTAGAACCACAGATTTTTTCCCCCAAGTGTCAATTTACAACTTTTTTTCCTTAAGTACAACCAGCTGATAAAAACGCAAACTACCTCTATTCCTTGAAAGTAAAACTGTTTCAATAAATGCCACACAGAGGCTATTGGCTGCAATCATAGCGCCATTTACATTTCTTAGTAATTGACCACATTCCCCATGTGTTTCCTGCATACTGTTTCAAAGAGAAAAATAAGGTCGAAATCTGAGGAAACATGGAAAGATTTCATGGCTGTAAATTAAAGATATATAACAAAAGGTTAAGTAGCCTCACCATAAGTATCAATAGGCTATTTAAAACTATTAAAATATCACTACAACTGAATGCACAATGTAGAAGCCTTACCTTGGTCAATGATCCCTTCTGATAGAAACTTGCACTCCCACCATTGATCATACTGCTGAGGCCACCTGAAATCCAATGGCTTCTCAAACTTGTCCTTGGGTTTCAGTCCTTCATACATCTGTTTAAAAAATATAAAAAATGCGTTATTCAAACAGGAAACAAGTTTTCTCTCTGATATCATGTTTTTTTTTCGAAGAGCCAAAGATGTCCATTAATTACAGCAATATTCTTAACAACAAGTTTATATTTCATGTTATGGGAAAGGGTTGATTACTTGAAAGACATATTCATGAATTTCCTTGAGCTCTTGGAGCCCCAAAAACATAATATTCTTGGATTGAGGATGAGGAGGAACAATGGTTTCTAGGTTGTAGGACAACCACATGTACCTACAACCAAACTATCTGACAAAATGTCTTGGAATTAGTGTATAAAACTCAGTCTTTATGTTTCAAGACAACCACATCTATGAATTCACTAACCATTTGGTGCAAATAGCAAACCATATCCAAGATGAATATCTTTAGACTTTTGTTGTAAACTTGGGAATTCTACTGTAAACCTTTGTTGTAAACTTGGGACTTTTGCTTTAAACTTTTGTTGTAAACTTGGGACTTTTGCTGTAAACTTTGGTCCACTGAACTATTGGTAATAGCAAGCCATAGCTGGCATAGAAAATCTTGAGTGAGAATTTCTTAAATTTGATATTTTAAGACCTCTAATCTATTGATGGATGTGTTTTTTCCTTTATAACTTTGAACTTTGTGATCTTTGTTTGTATCAGTCTCCCGACTGTTTTAACATGGAATTTTGACTCAATAAACCGAAATGAAATGAAAATAAAATGAATCATTCAAGTTATTGGGATGAGATAACCATACCTGAGAGAAGATAGAATTCTTGCCGGAGGGGTCCTTAAAGGGGTCTATCCTATGATCAGCAGCACTGCGGCGGTTGATGTATAGCCTTGGCATACGAGAGGGTCTCCTGTATAACAAGAATTCATCCAGTGAGAAAGAAAACAAAAGTTAACCCATTTTCTAGGGTAACTGGATGGCTCCTGTATCAAACGTATGGTAATGAGAGTACTTCAGTACTTAATGGGTTAAACTAGGAGATAAGCATTGGTCACATGAGGGTTATGTGACAGCCCTGTAATAAAGGGGTTGAAAAGAAGCCATGGCTGAAACAAATTTGTTTGATAAAAGGATATTTCACACAATTTACATTTTTACTATTAAAAAAGAAGAGAAAGACACTTACAAAGTCTAGAAGGAAATCTGACTTTGTTTAAGATGATTCTTTCATACTTCACTATCCTCAACTCTCATCTATGAAATTTATACACAAATCATATGTGACATTCATAAAATCTGATGTAGAAGGTAAATAATTATGTTTGCCTACCCTGTTTCTGATTGGCTAAGGAAGTGATGTATGAGACCATTTCGTTTCTTAGAGAGTGGCAAAAACTGACGGACGACCTCTAGAGAACGGAAAGAACCAACGGAATATTCCCAAGCTGGTACGATGAAATGAACCGCACTGTCCAGTAACTTGATGAACCTAAAAGGGAAACAAATCATACGCATTATAATCTAGAAGCACAAAACTAATGGTTCCATGCAAATTTTGGATCCATATCTTTAAATTTGATAAAATGATAACTTTGATAAATTGATGATCATCAATAGTGATCTGTCAGTTTATGACAGGTTCAGTGACCCATTCAAAATTCTATATCAAGTGTCTCTCCAAGTTTCTCGCCAAGTTCCTCGGTCAACCGTTTCATACCCTGTTGCTCCACATTGTGTGATAACATCGTCTAGAAAGCCTCTACGAGGTCTTCCCCTCTTCTTCTTTCCATGAATATGACCTTCTATGACTCTGAGCATCAAGCCCTGATGATACTAGAAAGAAAATATAGGAAGTATTCCACAAATTTGAATTAAATGAGCTCTCAAGCATTAAAATAAGTACAAGAATACAAATTAGCCTTTGAATAAGAGATATATTGGAATCATGTACAATCATGATAATTGAGAATGTAATCATATCCTTACCTTTGCAAGATGAGTGCCCTCTGGTATAACTTCTCCTTATCTACATGCTCCAACCTTGGATACCTGAAATAAAGGACACACACATAGATATGTTAAAATCAAATCACAACGGACTGGACTGTGTACATAAGGGATCAATCAAAATTTGTTTTGGTACGTACTGGCAATATACAAGTAACATTTCGATATACCGGTAGGTCATATTACTTTCAATCCCTTAGGATGATTCTTTCTTGAATCAAATTGCTTGTGGCACTGACAAACATTTACTGAATAGGTATATAATCTTGACTTCTTCAAAAGAAATCTGAAAACACAACTCTACATTTCTTCTTCATACACTGTGGAAAAGGTGCTTTATGAATCCAGGTATTCTCATTATTAGGTAGTAGTATCGTGCCAGTAATTATTGAGTTGTCTCTTTAGCTTTTCATGGTGATGCATGCCTCTCCATGTACCAGGTTATAATGTTTTTATCACCCCTCTAACTCTGTTATAACATTGGATAATCTATTAAAGCAGGCATTACCTAACAAGTTCTTTCTTGTCAAACAGATCTATATTGAGTCCTAGATCTCTCTCTTTGAGGGACTTGATCTTGATTCCATGTATCCTCGTATCTACACCATCATCTATTTGTGAAGAAGAGAAAATAAAGTAATTCATACAGATTTCTTGTCCCAAATACCATGTTATAGATTTAATCATGATTCTGTACTGAAATAAAAGCTGTATTTTCTGATAATCAGATATACATTATTGGATATGTTGGTATTAAATAATGGAATACTGTTTCTACAGAGTACAAATCTTTCATCAAATCAAAAGTCCACCAAATAAATACTTATTACATAACAAAGGATGAGATTCAAGTTCTAAATACCTGCCAAAGACTTGTCCAATACACAGTATAAAAAGCTTCTGATATCATGCATCAAAACTGGCAGATTTGTTATAACATAGAGCTAAGTGAACAGACGTAAGTCCTTTGTTGCGCACATTAGCCATTCATTTACACCAAAACAAATGTAGCATCTTTTTTTCTGGGAGTTTACTGCACCATTTCTTAACATGCCTTAACGTACACATAAAAAAGGTGAATTCCATTCCATAACAAGTGCATGAAATAACTGGTAACTTGGGTTTCTAGGACGAAACGTTTTGCAAATTTGTTCCTATTCACAATTCAGTAATCTGGTCTACTGGTGAAATGTACTTGTAGTTGCCTATAGTTTGGGAGATGCGAATTGGTCTAGCGGCACGTTCACTTGGTCAGCTCTCTGTCTTCGCCTACAAACTGGCTCTGAAAGACCCCTGTTCGAAACGAAGTCACGTCTTTTGAATGGTGACATTAAAGGTTTGTCCCAAAACATAAATAATCATATCTGATTGATACACATCTGTAAAAACCCAATTACACACACACACACACACAGTTTAATATAACATTGGATATTTATATAGCGCACGTATCCACCATTTTTGGTGCTCAAGGCGCTCCAACTATTACCATGGCTCTGCTAGGCAGCAGATTTCGGTGCTCACAGCATTCAAGGAATTCCTTCCTACAAGTACCCATTTAACACCAGGGGGGTGTTTAACAAAGATTCTAAGTCGAACTTAACTCTAAGTTGGACTTAAATATTATGGAGAGCCATTTGTAGTCTTATAATGAAATATGTTCAAAAGCAAAAATTCAAGTATTTTAGACTTTTCATAAATTCCACATCAAGAACATGAAATCTCCTATGATAATAGAAAATATGAATGATTTGAATCAACATTTTATGCCTTTTAAAATAACTTTTACTAAATATTTTCAAAGATGCTAACAGCTGTCCATAATTGTTAAGTCCAACTTAGAGATAAGTTCAACTTAGGATCTTTGTTAAACACCCCCCAGGGTGCAGAGTGGCAAATGTAGATTAATATCTTGCCAAAGGACATTAGTGCCGCGGCGGGACTCAAACCATGAACCTTGTAAATGCACTATCCAGGAAGAGAAAAGACCACTCACCCTTGCACGTCTTTATCCTAATTTCCACTGTGGAGTAGAACTGTGTCATGTCCTCTAGAATACAGATGTCTCCTGAATACGTCCTGTTTTTAGGTAAATGAGGATAAAAAGGTATGTTTGATATAAATGCACTCGAATGAAAGTGCTTGTATCATATATCGATTCAAGTAGCCTACTTGCATCTGTGTTATCATTTTTCAATAATGTTTTTAATTTCAATCACAATCATGGAAAATAACATCAATAATCATCACCACCACATCAACATTCATCATCATCATCACTATTAAATACATTACACTTTTGATTATAATCTGCCATCTAAAACAAAACATGTGGTCCAATGATCGCAGATTATCAATTTCAAGTGGAGGAGAGTATAATATACAAGGGATTTGGAAGGAGTTCATACGTGTAGTCTGTACCTCTTCTCATCTTTGATGAACTCAGATGCAGATACAGTATATCAAAGTATAAGTACACTGTACATTGCTAGATAACCTGATTGACTTACTGTTCGATGGTATGGTCACTGAGCTTGACGAGATGCTCTCTATCCCCAGCCATCACTACAACATGGGTAGGCATGTAGTTATCATCATGGGCATTCACTGTGATGAACAGCTTCCTGAAACGAATCAAAGCACGGACAATAAGCGACAGATTTAATAACAATTAACCCCTTCCCCTGTTTACTTCATTATTACAGTAATAAAACCAGAGAAAATGTAGATGTCACCTGTATCTTATTCATGTTTGAAATGATCGATAGACAGTCAATGTAACAAAAAAAATATGCACAGGTGCAAAATGTTTCAGGCTTAAACAATGTCAGCCATTGGACTGTTATTTGTAGAACAAGGAAAAAATAAACAAACAGAAATCAAGAAATGTTATTATTTCTTCGTCTTTCTTGTACAGTTGCTACATTCTAGGTCAATACTTAAGAACAGAAGCTGTAGTTATTCCATTACATTCAATCTTGTCTTTACATATATCTACGATGGTGAGTTTGAACTAAAAACTACCAATTACTGAAAGTAAGAGCATTATCTTACTTGATAATGGTGCCCCTCCTCATACCAAGTCGAATCCAATGTTGACCCTGCCTGCCATCGCTCTCCCAGTACGTGGTAGTATCACCGTCTGTCAGGCACGATGCACTCTCATCATCCTGGGGGCGGCAAACAGGAGTAATATCAATATTTCTCAGGATTCATTTAGGTCCAAAGTGTTATGTCTTATACAATACCGACTGCATCAAAGATTTTAGTATGTCTGATTATTGTATGAAGTTAACAACCCCAGTAAAGATTGAATCAGATGAAATATCACCAATAGAGATCACTTCTTACATTTTTTTTCATTTTTTTAAAATATTTCAGAATACTTGGAAAAATATGGGGGAAAATGACCAATACCTTGGACTTGACATAAAAACACAACATAACAAGAGTCTTTACAACCGAGAGAGGTATGACACTTTTTTAATAGCAATAGAAATGGAGAATTCAAGTCTCTTCTGAAACAGTCATGCAAGATTGTTTCCCATCATTATACACACATGAAGTTACATAGAATTCTTTATCCAGCTAATTGCGAATTTGTTCACATAATCATGCACATTCTTGGCCGACTTAACCTCATGACATTTACGGTACCCATTTTAGGGAAATAACCCCTTCAGATAACACCAACATTATTACATGAACAACTACACTTGGAACCTTACCACCAGACCAAGATCTCTTCTTTACCTTTCACATGATATTGAATTATTTACAATTGTCTGGTCATCAATATGTGTGAGACTGTTAGGAGATAGCTGTCTAGGGACCAACTGTCCTAGTTCGATGACTCTTTTGGGTAATAGGTGTCCTTGACTCCTTCTTACCACTCACCCAGCTTGATGATACATCCACAGACTCCACATACTGCTTCACACTCCCCAGCTTCTCATTCTCATGATCCGTGTGTTCCCCGAGGAACTTTGCTAGCTCCTCATCACATTCAAGGCTCCAGTTAGGAGGGACGCTCCTTAGGTCCTCCACACCTTCCCTATGGGATGGTCTCACCTCGGGTAGCTTCCCAATACGCAGGCTATAGCTCACTTCTACTACCTCCTCCCAGCTAAAATACAGACAAAAGAAAATGTTATTTCATTTCTACTCAGATTTATTTCAATTATATTCATGCAACATCCTCATAGGAAGTGGGTATTGATAATGTCATGATTTCAAAACAGCAACAGTACCGATTTAAATAATGATTCGAGCACAAGTTTTGCTTTCAAAATGGTGACTGGTTTAACATGTGACCTGTACCATATTGAACATCTACATGTATCCATAACAGATTTGGTAAATGTTTGGGTTACAGGCCTTTTGAGTCAGATTTGTAGTTATGGTTACAGTGAGTCCAAATAATGTTATGATAAACAACTTTTTGTTGTTGTTGCTATAATGTACCATCTTCAGCATAAGATTGTGAATAAAGAGAACCTTCATTTCTACTTATCAATTACATGTACATGTACCGGTATATAGTTTGAATCTGACTCCCCTCCTTATACTTTGCTAATTAATTTTAAAAAATATCAAATTTGTCTATTCATTTTTCAAAGGGCTCATTAACTTCTGTAACCCTCCCCACTGTTTTTCTCCTCTCTTTTCCTTTGTACTTACTCATCAATTCGTTTGACAGTCTTTCCGAAAAGTAGTTGACTTGATGGACTAGCTATGTTTGATTCCACTGGTTGGAGTGACGGAGGATCGTCTTGGCTTGCCTTACTGTCATACAGCAGCACCCAACCTTCTACTGGACTCTGTAAAGAATGTTGGAGAAAACAAAAAAGTACAGAATTTTCCAAAAGTCTGGGACATTCAGATTTTTCTTTCGCAAAGGGCACCAATTACAGTTTTCTTTAATTCTTAAAGTGAGAAGGAAAATAAAAAGTATCTCAATGAACCTGTTAAAGGTAAAGACCAGTTTTGGAAACGCCCCCCCCCCCCTCAAAAAATGAAATGGAAGTTCTTATTACCAACCATGTGAAAGAATATGTTTCGACTAATACGTGACGATACAAATTTTGCTGAGAAACCGCCTACTAATTGATATATTTGGTAAATTATTATATATATTTGGACCAGATAGATATCGCGCACGTGTCGGGTAATCCCACATACATCTTTCTGTGTACAGTGCTTATAACTTTACGAAGCTAAGACTGGGCCAAATTTCTTATCATTTTGATGATTCCAGAACCTTGAAGTAGGCCTACACACAAATACTTATAGATGCTCAACCTTTTCTGATCGATTCCACTTTTCTTTCACTATGCAATCACATGAACAGAACTGGTCTTTATCTTTAAAGTAAAAATTACAATACACAACTAAAATTTCAAATAAGTCTACGAGTACGTACATGTAGACTAGTACTAGTAGACCTAAGCACTAATTATATATATATATTTTTGGCTCAACCGAGAGGGAGGGATGAACACTCCTTTTTTTATCCTCAACATCCACCTCCTCCCCCTTAAAAGTTAAAAGTTGTTATGTTTATTACCCGTTTCGAGACAATTTTCTTGTTATTTTTGGAATATTTTTGGGAAAAAACATTGATATTAGTATACACTTTTCCACAGGTTTCATGGCAAACCGCTGCACAATACAAGTGCATACATGTACCAATGGTGGGTTTGCCTGTGTGAAGTTATCCACCGTAATGTCTCTGATCCTCATTACGGTAGATAACTTCACACAGGCGCCCGCCGCGCCCGCAACCCACCATCGGTATGCACTTGTATTGTGCAGCGGTTTGCCGTGAAACCTGTGAAAAAGTGTAGGCCTAATCAACGTTTTTTCCAAAAAATAGTCTAGATTCTAGATCTAGATCTAGTCTAGGTAGACTAGATCTAGATCTAGAATCTAGACTATTTTTTGGAAAAACAAGAAAATTGACACGAAACAGGCAATAAACACAAGGACTTTTAACTCATGATCTTTATTTGGACATTTAATGAATATTTATTCATTTTGGGTAGATCTATGTATATGTTTTAGTAAATTTTCTTGGAGATCATTATCTCCACACCGGAGTTACGGGTCAAATTTTGGATAGGCTTCTAAACAAGCGCCCCTTAAATTCGCCCTGGCCCTTGTCCCCCTTGGCCTTAGGCCCTAGACTATTCAATTCCTTAATCCATTTTTGCTTTTAATGTGTGAAATACCATCTATGTTTTACCTCGAATTTTAGCCATTGTCCTTGAGAATTGCACATGGCCAATCCAGCAACATACAGCTTGTTTTCATTTTCATTTTCTGCTGTTAAGGTGGTGATGCATTCCGTCTGCCTGTCTGGATTTTTGTAAACATTTAATCGCGTCGACGTCTGGGAAAGTTTGAACTCGAGTCCACTCGGCACGTAACACAGTGCTTCTGGGAGCCGTTTTGCGTCACGGAAGCATTCAATACACTCTTGGAGACATCTTATCCGGGCTAATGTTGCCCTGGTTTGTGTATATACCGGAGAAAACATCCTAAAATCCCAAGTCAAAAGACAAAACAGTGATCTTTCAAGACGCTTCCCAGGCCCAGATCCCAGTCACTTGACGTCAGGCCCAGATCCCAGTCACTTGACGTCAGGCCAGCGCCAGGCCAAATGATCGGTAGCATATATTGGCACCAAGATTAACGGCGATATGAATATTCATTATTCCCTACGTCACAGACGTGCGGCGTGCGTACTCTGTCTATGGATCTGTCTTATACACAGGTACATGTACTGTACTGTACTAGTACAAGAGTACGTTCGCAAGCATTACTACATACATTGCTCCGGAATGAAGAGAATCATTATAAAGGACGAATTACTCCGTGAAGCCAAGTACAAGCAGGGAATTGAAATAGCAAACGTTCCTCGGAGCGGCTATACAATCCCTAATCTAGCTAGTTTTGTAATGACAGTTTATAGGAAAATGGACATTTAGTAGGCCTACTGTTTAGTTGTTCAATAAAATCACTCAGTTTGATTTGATTCGAGATATATATCATTAATAAAACAGTATAAAGGCTGTATGAGTCTCGGACGAACCATCGCCACTAATCTTGGTGCCAACACCGTTAATCTATGCTCCAAATTTAGTAATACATTTTGTGTGCCCTATAATGACCCGGGGTTGGATTATTTAGGAGAACAGAAGATTGATATTGTTAAGTTGTTTCATAACATCTCTCAGTTTTGATTCGAGATATATTTCATTAATAAAACAGTATAAAGGCTCTATGAGTCTCCAAGAACGATCGCCACTAATCTTGGTGCCAACACGGTAACACCGTTAAACTATGCTCCAAATTTAGTACTACCTTTTTTGTGCCCTATAATTATGCTAAAGACCCATGCAGGGTTGGATTCTTTAGGAGAATGGAAGATTGATATTGTTGTTTCATAACATCATTCAGTTTGATTTGATTCGAGATATATCTCATTAATAAAACAGTATAAAGGCTCTATGAGTCTCACACGAACGATCGCCACTAATCTTGGTGCCAACACCGTTAATCTATGCTCCAAATTTAGTACTACCTTTTTTGTGCCCTATATGCTAAAGACCCATGCAGGGCTGGATTCTTTAGGAGAATGGAAGATTGATATTGTTGTTTCATAACATCATTCAGTTTGATTTGATTCGAGATATATCTCATTAATAAAACAGTATAAAGGCTGTATGAGTCTCGGACGAACCATCGCCACTAATCTTGGTGCCAACACCGTTAATCTATGCTCCAAATTTAGTAATACATTTTGTGTGCCCTATAATGATCCGGGGTTGGATTATTTAGGAGAACAGAAGATTGATATTGTTAAGTTGTTTCATAACATCTCTCAGTTTGATTTGATTCGAGATATATTTCATTAATAAAACAGTATAAAGGCTTTATGAGTCTCCAAGAACGATCGCCACTAATCTTGGTGCCAACACCGTTAAACTATGCTCCAAATTTAGTACTGTATACCTTTTTTGTGCCCTATATGCTAAAGACCCATGCAGGGTTGGATTCTTTAGGAGAATAGAAGATTGATATTGTTGTTTCATAACATCATTCAGTTTGATTTGATTCGAGATATATCTCATTAATAAAACAGTATAAAGGCTCTATGAGTCTCACACGAACGATCGCCACTAATCTTGGTGCCAACACCGTTAATCTATGCTCCAAATTTAGTACTACCTTTTTTGTGCCCTATATGCTAAAGACCCATGCAGGGTTGGATTCTTTAGGAGAATGAAAGATTGATATTGTTGTTTCATAACATCATTCAGTTTGATTTGATTCGAGATATATCTCATTAATAAAACAGTATAAAGGCTCTATGAGTCTCACACGAACGATCGCCACTAATCTTGGTGCCAACACCGTTAAACTATGCTCCAAATTTAGTAATACATGTTGTGTGCCCTATAAAGACCCGGGGTTGGATTATTTAGTAGAATGGAAGATTGATATTGTTAAGTTGTTCCATAAAATCTTTCAGTTTCATTTGATTCGAGATATATCTCATTAATAAAACAGTATAAAGGCTGTATGAGTCTCGGACGAACCATCGCCACTAATCTTGGTGCCAACACCGTTAATCTATGCTCCAAATTTAGTAATACATTTTGTGTGCCCTATAATGATCCGGGGTTGGATTATTTAGGAGAACAGAAGATTGATATTGTTAAGTTGTTTCATAACATCTCTCAGTTTGATTTGATTCGAGATATATTTCATTAATAAAACAGTATAAAGGCTCTATGAGTCTCACACGAACGATCGCCACTAATCTTGGTGCCAACACCGTTAATCTATGCTCCAAATTTAGTACTACCTTTTTTGTGCCCTATATGCTAAAGACCCATGCAGGGTTGGATTCTTTAGGAGAATGAAAGATTGATATTGTTGTTTCATAACATCATTCAGTTTGATTTGATTCGAGATATATCTCATTAATAAAACAGTATAAAGGCTCTATGAGTCTCACACGAACGATCGCCACTAATCTTGGTGCCAACACCGTTAAACTATGCTCCAAATTTAGTAATACATGTTGTGTGCCCTATAAAGACCCGGGGTTGGATTATTTAGGAGAATGGAAGATTGATATTGTTAAGTTGTTCCATAAAATCTTTCAGTTTCATTTGATTCGAGATATATCTCATTAATAAAACAGTATAAAGGCTGTATGAGTCTCGGACGAACCATCGCCACTAATCTTGGTGCCAACACCGTTAATCTATGCTCCAAATTTAGTAATACATTTTGTGTGCCCTATAATGATCCGGGGTTGGATTATTTAGGAGAACAGAAGATTGATATTGTTAAGTTGTTTCATAAAATCTTTCAGTTTGATTTGATTCGAGATATATTTCATTAATAAAACAGTATAAAGGCTCTATGAGTCTCACACGAACGATCGCCACTAATCTTGGTGCCAACACCGTTAATCTATGCTCCAAATTTAGTACTACCTTTTTTGTGCCCTATATGCTAAAGACCCATGAAGGGTTGGATTCTTTAGGAGAATGAAAGATTGATATTGTTGTTTCATAACATCATTCAGTTTGATTTGATTCGAGATATATCTCATTAATAAAACAGTATAAAGGCTCTATGAGTCTCACACGAACGATCGCCACTAATCTTGGTGCCAACACCGTTAAACTATGCTCCAAATTTAGTAATACATGTTGTGTGCCCTATAAAGACCCGGGGTTGGATTATTTAGGAGAATGGAAGATTGATATTGTTAAGTTGTTTCATAACATCTCTCAGTTTGATTTGATTCGAGATATATTTCATTAATAAAACAGTATAAAGGCTCTATGAGTCTCCAAGAACGATCGCCACTAATCTTGGTGCCAACACCGTTAAACTATGCTCCAAATTTAGTACTACCTTTTTTGTGCCCTATATGCTAAAGACCCATGCAGGGTTGGATTCTTTAGGAGAATGGAAGATTGATATTGTTGTTTCATAACATCATTCAGTTTGATTTGATTCGAGATATATCTCATTAATAAAACAGTATAAAGGCTCTATGAGTCTCACACGAACGATCGCCACTAATCTTGGTGCCAACACCGTTAAACTATGCTCCAAATTTAGTAATACATGTTGTGTGCCCTATAAAGACCCGGGGTTGGATTATTTAGGAGAATGGAAGATTGATATTGTTAAGTTGTTCCATAAAATCTTTCAGTTTCATTTGATTCGAGATATATCTCATTAATAAAACAGTATTAAGGCTGTATGAGTCTCGAACGAACCATCGCCACTAATCTTGGTGCCAACACCGTTAAACCATGCTCCAAATTTAGTATAACATTTTGTGTGCCCTATAAAGACCCGGGTTTGGATTATTTAGGAGAACAGAAGATTGATATTGTTAAGTTGTTTCATAACATCACTCAGTTTGATTTGATTCGAGATATATCTCATTAATAAAACAGTATAAAGGCTGTATGAGTCTCGGACGAACCATCGCCACTAATCTTGGGGCCAACACCGTTAAACCATGCTCCAAATTTAGTAATACATTTTGTATGCCCTATAAAGACCCGGGGCTGGATTGTGTAGGAGAACGGATGATTGATATTGTAAAGTTGTTTCATAACATCACTCAGTTTGATTTGATTCGAGATCTTTCTCATTAATAAAACAGTATAAACGCTGTACAAGTCTCAAACGAACCATCGCCACTAAACTTTGTGCCAACACCATTAAACTATGCTCCAAATTTGGTTATACATTTTGTGTGTCTATAAAGACCGAGGCTTCCCAGGATCATTTAGGAGAATGGAAGATTGATATTGAGAAGTTGTTCGATAACATCACTCAGTTTGATTTGATTGCGCATTATGTCTCTTAATAATGGTGTAAAAGTCTCTAAAGAGAAGAAAATAAAGAGAGAAAGAGAGAGAGAGAGAGAGAGAGAGCGAGAGAGAAGAAAAAGATGTGAAAGGGAAAGAGGAGAGAAAGGAAAAGAAAGAAGAGGAAAAAGAAAAGAAAAAGGGGGAGGGGAAGAAAGAGATCAGGGGGAGGGGGGCCGAAATGGGCCTTGCCTCCCATGATGTTGCTTCCACTTCCCCCTCCCAGCAAAACAAAAAGAGAGAAGAAGGAAAGGGAAAGCAAAAGGAAAAGAGGAGATAACGGAAAGGAAAAGAAAAGAGGAAGAAGATAAGAAAAGAAGGGGAATATCAGTTACTATTTTTTCCGCAACAAGTTGTGGATCCGGGGGGGGGGGGCAAAAGGCCCTTGCCTCTTCCCCCCCCCCCCCTCCCCCACCGCCAAAAAAGAAGGGGAAAAAGGGGAAGGGAAAGAGGAGAGCTAAAAGGGAACAAAAAAGAGGAAGCGGGGGGGGGGGTAAGAGGACACTTTTTGGGGGTCTCGAAATTTGAAAATTTGACATTTTGTTACGTAGGGGGGGGGGGTGTTGAGGTCACCTTTTTTAGGGGGTCTCGAAATTTGAAAATTTGACATTTTGTTACGTAGGGGGGGGGGTGTTGAGGTCACCTTTTTTAGGACAGCCATTGGCATAATTAAAAAAAATAATTAAAAGGGGGGGGGTTTGCTCCAAG